ATGAGCAAAAAGTTGGACGAACTTAAGTCTTTTAATTCCCAAATCATTCCCAAATCACTGCACACTTCTGTCGTATTCAACATCAGTAAGCATTATTAATGTGTTCATAAAACTTTAATTGATTGTTATAAATTGTTAGAGTTAAACAAGTAAATAAATTGCTTGTAACCTTGGATTTTAAGCACTTAAAGAACCTTCTTCTGATGTTCTCATAACCATACATGACTTACTGCTCATGTCCATCACATGCTTAATAATATAAATTAATCATTTATTAATCTTTTAAAATCATCTATACATGAAACCTTAATAGAATCTGTGACAAATTTTGCTGAAACTGCCTCCCTGCCACCCCCGGACATGGAACACCCCTGCTGAGCTAATACCAGGAATGAAATCCTGGGCTCACTGCAGTCAGTGGCAAAACTCTCATTGATTCCCTGGGGCTCAGATTTCAATCCGGGTCATTACTTTTGTCATCCACTTCCTTCCTCAAGGCCCTCAGTTACCATGAAGTCAACAATGCATTAGCCTGCTAGTAACCACTAACTATTAGAGCATCTATGGGTGGTTATATGCACAAATAGAAGCTACAATTCGAACCAACAGCTATCTCCCTGCCCATTCCACTTGTGTGCTGCACACTTTTCCCTTATCTTTTTTCTTTTTTGTAAGAACAGAAGAATGGCCATATTGGGTTCATATTGCCCAATATCCTGTCTCCAATACTGGCCGATACCAGAGCTTCGGGGGAATGATATTTTCATTGGTAGTTATTTGCACTATAAAATTTAGATTTGGCTTAACCAAAACTGTTTACAAATTTGAGTTGAATTTAGAAAATAATTTCAGATGAAGAAAAAATGACAAAGATTTTTGAAATCTCAAAACATTTCTTTTTTTTATTTTCAGCAAGAAATTTCATTTAGGAATTTATCTACTTTTAATTTGAAGAAGTATTAAATGTCCTCCTGCCCCTGAAAACAAAATAACATAAAAAACCAGGGGAAAATGTTTTGGATCAGATTTTTGTGTTGTGTGAAGGGTGTAAGTAATACTTCCATATTCATTTTCTTTACACAGTTCATGATTTTATAGATTTCTGTCATATCTTTTTCTACGCTGAAAAGCCATAATCTTTTTACTCTCTTCTCAGACAGAAGCTGTTCCATACCATTGATCATCTTTGTTGCCCGTCTCATCTGAATCTTTTCCATTTCCTAGGGTATGTCTAGATTACATGCCTCTGCCACTGAGGCATGTCAATTAGACATACTGACATAGTCAATGAAGTGGGGATTTAAATATCCCATGCTTCATTAGCATACACATGGCTGCAGCTTTTTTGAAATGGAGCTTTTTAAAAAAAAAAAAAAAAACAGCAGTCTAGACACTGATCTGTCGAAAAATAAACCCTTTTTTGAAAGATCCTGTAAACCTCATTTTTTGAGGAATACAGGATCTTTTGAAAAAGGGTTTATTTTTCGACAGATCTGCGTCTAGACTGCCGGTTTTTTAGGGGGGGGTCCGAAAAAGTTCAGTTTTGAGAAAAAGTGGTGGCCATGTTTATGCTAATGAAGTGCAGGATATTTAAATCCCCACTTCATTAGCAATTTCAACGTGCCTAATCTACATCTCTTTGTCGACAAATAGGTGTAGTTTAGACATAGCAAGGGAGTGTGTCTTCTTTAGGAAATTCCCTACCTTGCTGTGTGCTCAACCACAATAAGTATAACTGAGCATAATTCAGGAAACAGTCACCACAAGGGCAGAATGGGAGACCCATTGAGACATGACAAACTTTCCCAGTGAATCCACCTTCCCCCTAGAGTGGAGAGACATTGCCTGAGCAAGGCTTTAAGATCAGAGACATGTACTTCTACACCTTCATTTCCCCACCCCCCAGCTTTGCCTTTTCTGGAGCCAATACAACAGCAACAATATTTGGGGAACATTCAGAATACGTACCCTGAAAACCTCATAGACGTCCCTGTCACAAGCCACACTCACAGGCACGTAGTATAAGCCATTGAAAAAGGTTTCTTTGACTGGGATGCACGGCTCTATGTAGCCATCTTCCAGGTTGTACCCGTTGTAGTAATAGCCATAATAGTCATATACACGGAGCAGGTTGTACACCTGGTGGGAGAGGGTGAAATCTGGTGAGCACAAGAAAATGTCTCAAAGGTGTAAATTCCTGTGTCACCCCTGGCAGTTACTGGGTATGAGCAAACTCCACACTGGACACTTTTCTTTTAAGAAAGATAGAAGAAGTGCTTTAGCTCAGTAAGAAAACTATCCTGGGACACTTCAGATTTAGTTAGACTCACATGCTCAGCCTCTGAACACAGGTTAAGGAAGATAGAAGAAGTGCCTCAGCTCAGTAAGAAAACTGTCCTGGGAGACTTCAGATTGAGTTAGACTCACATGCTCAGCCTCTGAACACAGGGTGGACTAACAGTGACTTTGGAAAACTGTAAGAGAGGAAACACAGTGAAGGAGAAACCACCCTGCTTATGCAACTCTCTGCTTTCATGTGCACAGTGCTAATTTGCTCCAACTTGATGAGAAACCACCTCTGTTATGGTAGGGGTCTCTGAAAAGTGACTCTATAAAAATGGTAGCCCGGGCTCTGTTTATGGTTTCCCAACAATTCCAGATTCTTTTCTCAGATTGCCAGCACCACACATTCTCTGGGATCTGAACATCAAGATGGATTCTCTCTTTCTTGAACATCCTCTCCAGTAATACAGACAGTGCAGGCCTTTGGTGACATCTGTGCAGGCCCATTGCTTGTGGTAGTTTTGCACTGCTCTGACTGGTTGGAACTCAGCAAACAATTCTGTTGGGTGACATCTACACTGCAGCACTATGTTGGGATACCGCTAGTATCCCCAGATAGCTATTCTGCCTCTTTTGAGCATGCCCATTATTTTGAAATATAACGGGCTTGCTATTCCGATGCTCCTGAAAACCTCATTGCATGAGGAGCAGGGGATCTTATGGACTAGCAGGTGTTTTCAAAATAAGGCTTTGTCTAAACTGCACCCCTCTGTTGGCAGAGTGATGTAAATTAGATGTTTTGAAAGTGCAAATGAAGCAAGGAATTAAATATCCCGCGCTTCATTTGCATAATTGCGTCATGGCACTGTTTTGAACAAGGGCTGTTTTTAAAGTGAAACTGTGGTTTAGACGCTTTTTTTTCGACAACAGGGTGATTTTTTGAAAGATCCTGTACTTCAGAGTACAGGATCTTTTGAAAAAATGCCCTGTTGTAAAAAAAAAAGTGTTTAAACAGAAGTTTCAGTTTCAAAATGGCGCTGTTTGAAACAATGCTGTGATGTGATTATGCAAACGAAGTGCGGAATAGTTAATTCCCCACTTCATTTACATTTTTGAAATGTCTAATTTACATCCCACTGCTGACGGAGGGGTATATTTTAGACTTAGCCTAAAAGTGCTGTGTAGACGGTACCAAATTTTGAAATAAACTATTTCAAAATTGACGCGAAATAAGTTATGCAATTTGCGTAGCTTTTTTCAATCTCTGGGTGCAGTGTAGATGCACTTTTGGTGATGTTCAAGAAGGAATTGACTCCATCACCTTCATTGTGAGCTGTGCTGGCACTGCAGGGTGCATGGGAGCAAAACTCAGCAAACATGTTTTCTTATTAAAGTGACTAGATATAAACCTGAACATTTCTGCACAAGGAGCCCGATTCAAAGGCCCCTGACATTAACTGAAAGGTTCAAGTGACTGCTATGGATCAGGCTCAACAAGCAAGCCCACTTGAGAAAAAAGATGCCATTCTTACACAATTACTTACTTCCCTAGACAATACCAGTTTTAATTGCATGAAATGACCCTAGTGAAGTAGATTTCAGGTATTACCACATAAAAAGAGGAAAACCTCCCTCTTCTACTGTGCTTTTCATCAGTAGCGCTATGTCTAGACTTCAAGTTTTTGTTGGAAAATGGTACTCTAAATGTGCTTTGCATTTTGTGCGTACCTTTTTCAGATTCTTTTGTTGGGAGAGGCTTTTCTGACATTTGGCCTGTTTACACTGGGCAAATGTCAGAAAAAAACCCTCTTTTGGAAGATCCCTTCTCTCTCGTGGAATGAGGAAGACAGGGCTTCCGAAACAGCATGTCTGTTCTTCCGCAAAAAAAAAGTGGAAGAGCAGATGTGTTCCTTGGATGTGGCAGAGGTTTTTTTTGTTTTTTTTTTTTTTGAATACTGGAGGTATCCCGAAATCCACCCACCCCCCACAGTCTAGACGTATCCTAGATTTCAAAGCACTTAAAGGGAAATGAATGTCATTGTGCCCATTGCACAGATGACATGACAGAGGCACTGAGACTTGCTGAAAGTCAGCCCACAGTCCAATGGCAGGAATAGAACCTCGGGGTTAGAAGTTCACTGCTGCAGCCAACAGACTACCTATGAACTGAGAGGAGATGGTCACAAGTTGCAAAACAGTAATAAAAATGTTGTAAAAAGTTACAGCACAAGTGAAAATTTCTCTCTGTTCCTGGAAGTACGTGGCCCAAGCTACAGCCTATCATACTAGTGTGCAGTTGCTGGAGAGAGGCTCTTTGGAAGCACAGTGATGAAGCTGATCTCAGAATTGTTTCTTGGCACTTCCCTGCCATGCTAAGCTACAATCCCCCCACCCCACACCCCAGGGAAGCACAATATTCTGCACAGCTGTGGGTAAAGAGAAGAGAAGGTTTGCAGCAAGGCTTACAGAGTCGGCAGACAGCTCTTGCTCGGGTCTCAGGAGCAACACGCTCTGATCCACGGCCCGCAAGGCACAGTAGGAGTTGGCAGCAGCCGCAAGATGTAGGCTGACGTTAGAGGCTGGGAGCCCTTGCGTCTCAGAGAGCTGCAGCTGGACCTGGAATTGAGCAGAGAAATGAAGCCCCTCCAGAGAATCACATTAACGTGTAAACATCAAGCACATGGAGAGCTGATGAGCAGGCCTCTCCATCAAACACAATCTCCCAGAGTCCTTCTTCTAGGGCTGATGAGCAGGCCTCTCCATCAAACACAATCCTCTTCTAGGGTCCTGCAAAGCATCCCTGCTCCTCTCTCCCCCTACTTTATGGGCAGCCCTTGCTGTGCCTGACATCTATCCATGTCCCTCACACAAGCCTCCCCTGCTTCCCATGTGAGTCCTCAGCATTCACTTGTTCAGTCTCCCAGATACGTTTGCACTTTCTTTTCTTTCTGGAGCCCGAGTGCAGGGCTGGAGTCCTGTCTTCTCCGGGCCCTAAGCCTGTGGTGACTGGGCTGGGCCTTCACGAGACAGCGGAGCTCTCACCTTATTCTTGAAGCACTTCTCAATCTGGAGCCTGGTGCTGTCAGCCACCAGCTCGCCCCCAGGGTGCACAGTGTAGACCAGTATCTGGGCAGTGGGAGCCAGCTTCTCACTGGCAGTCAGTGGGATGAAGAACGTGTCATAGGGAGCTGCAGGAGGAACATGGAGCCAGCAGTAAGTTAGAGGATGAACGGACATTTTTTGCATGGAGGCTAAAAGCTCTTTAAAACAAGATGGCTGGCTGTTGGGAGACCCAGCTCTCAGCAGCCTTCAGACAGCTTCTGTCAGGGTATGTCTACACTAGCCCCCTACTTTGAATTAGGGAGGCTAGTGAGGGCGACCGAAACTGAAAATTAAGCATGGGATTTAAATATCCCGCACTTCATTAGCATGTTCCTGGGCGGTTGCCATTTTGGAAATTGACTAGTCTGGAAGAACTGCCCACGTCTAAACCTCATTCCATGGTCTAACTGGTAATTTGAAGTAAGGGGTTTATTTCGGAATCGCCCTTCTCTGCAGGCAGTTCTTCTGGGCTAGTCAATTTCCAAAATAGCGACCACCTGGGAACATGCTAATGAAGCGCAGGATATTTAAACCCCGCATTTCGTTTGCAATTTCAGTCACCCTCATTAGCCTCCCTAGTTCGAACTAGAGGGCTAGTGTAGACATATCCTCAGTGAAATACCAGCTGCCAGCATGAAGATCCTGAGCAGCAGGCACCTTGCAGGATGATAGTTGAGCTGCAGTCAGATAGGAATTCTCTTAGCTTCACTTCTGAGTAGGAAAATGCATGTGTGGGGGGAGGAGGGATGCTAAGTCTGGTGCACCCTGGGAATGAGAATACTGTCCACAGAGATTGAACTCAGGACCTTCAGCTCCCAGCAGACCAAGACTCTACCTCTAGGAGAAGTTCCTTAGCTGAGATATGGTAGCTGGCTACAATGGTCATGAAAAGGAAATAGTCTTATTTGCACTGGACTAATGTATTACTCCAGCACCTGGAGGATGAAATGGGGTGAGAAACACACAACACAGGTGTTTCTGTTACACCAGGGACTTAGCTTCACTTCTGAGTAGGAAAATGCGTGTGTGGGGGGAGGAGGGATGCTAAGTCTGGTGCACCCTGGGAATGAGAATACTGTCCACAGAGATTGAACTCAGGACCTTCAGCTCCCAACAGACCGAGACTCTACCTCTAGGAGAAGTTTCTTAGCTGGCTGAGATATGGTAGCTGGCTACGATGGACATGAAAGGGACTAATGTATTACCCCAGCACCTGGAAGATGAGACAGGGTGAGAAACTCACAACATAGGTATTTCTGTTATACCAGGAGAAAAAAAGCAGACTGAGGAGCTTCAAAAAGATCTCACCAAACTAAGTGATTGTGCAACAAAATGGCAAATGAAATGTAATGTGGATAAACGTGATGTAAAAGATTGAACTCAGGACCTTCAGCTCCCAACAGACCGAGACTCTACCTCTAGGAGAAGTTTCTTAGCTGGCTGAGATATGGTAGCTGGCTACGATGGACATGAAAGGGACTAATGTATTACCCCAGCACCTGGAAGATGAGACAGGGTGAGAAACTCACAACATAGGTATTTCTGTTATACCAGGAAAAATAGCTGTTTTTCTGACAAAACTTAAGTTACGTCTACACTGAAAGCACGTCTTTTCAACAGGAAATCAAAAGACCAGAAAAAAATAATCCCAACTATACATACAATATGATGGGGACTAATTTGGCTACAACTACTCAAGGGACAGATCTTGGAGTCATCGTGGATAATTCTCTGAAAACATCCACCCAGACTATGTCTAGACTACAGAGTTTTCCGTTAAAACTTTTTCGTTAAAAGTATTTGTGAGAAATCATGCCAGTCTAGACGCAGCCAAAAAGTATATATTGGCATTGAATAAGGCTCAGAAAAGGACAACAAAAATGATTAGGGGTTTGCAACGGGTCTCATATGAAAAGACATTAAAAAGACTTGGACTCTTTTTCTTAGAAAAGAAGCTTCTTGCGCAAGAAGCCTGTAATCAAGACATAGCCTCATGACTAGTGTGGGAAAAGTGAATAAGGAAAAGTTATTTACTTATTCCCACAATATAAGAACTAGGGGTCACCAAATGAAATTAATAGGCAGCAGGTTTAAAACAAACAAAAGGAAGTTTTTCTTCACTTGGAGCACAGTCGATCTGTGGAATTCCTTGCCAGAGGATGAGGTGAAGGCTAGGACTTCAACAGGGTTCAAAGAAGAGCTAGATAGATTCGTGAAGGTTAGGTCCATCGATGGCTTATTAGCCAGGATGTGTAGGAATGGTGTCCCTAGTCAGTTTGTCATGGAAATGGGAGACAGGGGAGGGTCATGTGAGGATCACCTGTTGTGATCCCTCCGACAGGGGCATCTGGTATTGGCCACTGTCAGTAGACAGGATACTGGGCTAGATGGACCCCACCTTGGTCTGATCCAGTATGGCCGTTCTTATGTTCTAAAACATGCACATACTTAATGTTGACAAGAGACAGATCAATCTCCAATCCGGGATCAGAAACCATACCATGGGACTTAGATGATCATTCACACCTTTCAGATTATGAATGGTGAGGAGTCCTAGTGAACACTTTGCAAATTCCCGTTGAAGAGAAATCAAAGAGAAGGAAGGAACAAATTCACATGGTGTGGCACCCCCAGCTAATCATTCAGTTTAGGAGCAATGGAATTAATCTGGCTTTGATGCCATGGGATAGACCACATGCTGCAGTAAAGTCCCCTTCCAGTGTTAATAATGTAGTGGTTGTGACTTATGTGGGAGATAGGCCTAGTAACTATCTTATGGAAACAGATTCCGACCAACTGCTGTACTCCATTTTTAGCCCATTTCACTCAATACGTGTATTCTTTGGTGTTCACATCTTTGTTTTCCAACCCTGACATCTCAGACTCACCACCGCTGATGCTGACTTCCTGTTGGCCGTTGAGAACAATTTTGCCTTTAGCCATTACCTGGGCACAAAGAGATACCAAAAGGCTGGATCAGTAAAGTCCAAACTGTCTCAATGGGCTAGTACATATCTACTTTTCATTAATGATCAGTATCGTGAAATTTGGGGCTCACTAAAATGAAGGATGGATAGTCTCATAGGAGTCAGACATAACTGTAGGCAGATCCTATGCTAGTTCCCCCCTCCCGCATTCCAACAGCTCTAGCAAGGCCCCCAGTCCTACCCTGCAACTCCTCTCTTTCTGCTATTCCAGCTCTGGGCTCCCCACATAGCCCTGCCAGTGCCCCTCAGCCCTGCCCTGTGCACTAGGGACTGGGGAAGAGTCCCTCTAGTGGTTATTTTCTGCTCTCCACTGCCTCATTCTCACTGTGCCTTGACATAAGATCAGTGTTTAATTCATTCCAGAAGTAAATGAGCAGAGCCCTGCTGGAACCCATTGACAAGACAATGGATCCATTCTGATTTTTCCCCCTGCCTGGGGCAGGTTACAGATTTCTGACTTGATCTATAATCATCCTCGGCTAACGGTAAAGAGGCTTATAAGGAAGCAGAGTAGGCACCCAATATTTACCAGGTAGTAGAAGTTCACATGGCTGGCATCCCCGTATCCCTCTTTATTCAAAACGTACTGCACCATGATCCTCGTCTCCTGGCCACAGCTCAGCACTTCTGGGACCTGCTGAAGCTTCACAAAGCTATTTGTGCGGGAGTAGAAGCGCCGGACGTAGTGGGAGGTCTCGGGTGTGTAAGGATCCATCAGGCCAAGGTCTCGACAGTCATCTATGGCATATGTGGCCTGGGACGGAACAAAGAAAAAAGCAAACAGAAGATTTTATGAAGAGGAATTAAAGCGTCAAAAGGCACCTGGGGCAGAAATGTTCATTGGCAGCTGTTGCTCAGAGACACTGTGTAAAGCAATGGGAATGGGCTTTAGGGGCTACTCAGTCTAAAAGCTCAACCAGTATTTGGAGTATGAGCATGTGTGCACATTCCCACACAGCAAGTCCAGCCCACCTAGGCCGCATGCCGAACTAGGCTAACCCTGTGCAGGTCTCTCCAGTGTGCATGGGCAGGCAGGTCACTAGCTACACTTGTAGGGCTGGCAACCACTGCATGTGCTGTTGGGGACTCTGTAGAGCTAGCATGGCACCAGTTCCAGATAGACTGGCTTTGCTGCTACCTCTCTTCTCCCCGTGCTGGGGCAAAGTAAAGGACAGAGTAAAGGAGTGTGTACCTAGGGATGTGTGTCTAGGGCACTCCCGTAGGGAGGGAGAGGGGCCACATTAACACCACAGTTCGTCTGGAGATCAGTGCACCCAGGTTGGACAGGGCAAGACGAAGAGGCAGGGGGCAGGTTCTGCACTGAGAAGGCAGGAAGGAACTGGGGTTGCTTGAGCCCCACCACGTCTTAGTGATGCAGTGTGTCACTCTCAGCATGCACGCCACCTGCTAGCCAGCTGCTCTTGCAGTATCCAGAGGTATTTGTGACAGTGAAATCAAGCAAGAACCTCTGTCTCCTGCACGGCTACTTTGCATTTTAGTTCCTTTGTTGCAACTTGACTCAGGATCAAATTGGGATAACAACAAAATTAGAGGAGGCACCAACCACATAGGCAGGGTCAATACCAAACTGCAAAACAAGCTGGAAATATTGGAGCTGGGTGGGTGGGCAGCAGGCACTGAGGGGTATTTCATCCCAGTGATGGCAGAGCTCTGTGCCCAGGGAAAGGAAACAATTAGAAGATGGATACACAATGGGGGAGCCAGACAGCTGAAACCACCATATGAAAGTGAGTTGATTATCATCTTCTCTGATGAATGTTGTCCTCGTGTCATCCTTTGAGAGGAACACGTCCACGGTTGCTGAGGGATCCATATTGGGAAACCAAATGAAAATGAGCCCACTGAGTTCCTCTAAAAACAGTTTTCCCTTCCTTCTCCTCTACTATTCTTCCCATGGAGGCAGATGTCCCTGGAGAGACTAGCCACTTCCCCACACACTGGACTCACCAGAACAATATTTCCCATGTGAATACCAGCTTGGATCTCCCTCCTCCCATGAGTGAATGACCCTGTGGGGAATGGAGCCTTTCCTCGTAGTTCTCTCAGTTACTTACTCGCAACGTAAAACTGGCCTCAAAGAGCTTGGAGGTGTCAATGGAAAACCAAGCAGTGCCATTCTCGTTTGTGATATAGTTAGCCACATACGTCTCGTTGAGCATTAGCCTGATGGTCTCATTGGCAGCAGGGACGCCATCCTCTTTTTCCATCTGAATCTGAACAAATAAAGATGCCCAGGGAGTTCAGAAAACGTACATGACAAGTAAGGCCCCATTTATTGGGTGCAGGCTACAGGGAAGAGAGCAGGTATTGTCACCAAATAGTGAAGTGTATTTGAAATACATGCCCAAGGTATTTTGTATTGTTTCTCTGAAGCACAGGGAGGGAAAATTCCCTGTGGAGCTTCCCGGGGCGACAAAGGAGAAATAGCCCTGCTGTGGAGGGGAGAAGGAAGGATTTATATACAGGATCAGGTATAAACTATTCTCAGGGAAGCCCCCCCGCCCCATGACTCTCCAGTGATGGTCAGTTCACAGCCCCCAAAATGTTAAATGCTACCAAGTGGGAAACAAAATTCAAATCCTCACCTCAGGCTCTTGTTCCCTGGGCCGGCCAGGAAGGGCCTTTGCAGGCTGCTGATCTGTGAAACCTGCACTGCTCAGGCGACTTGGAACCCTTCCTGCCCAGTATAAGCACTTTCTTCTCTGGCTCTCAAAAGGCTCGTGTCATTTTGTCTGCACAGATCCCCTCCCAGTGACAGGTTCCCAGGGGGAATAGGGGTCACTTCTGTGATGCCAGACTTTGCCTAGCACATTCTCTCTTTGCTGTCCTACCTCTCCATAGAAAGGGATTCCCCTCTTGTAGTAGGTGTCCACGTTCTTAAACCACAGTGACTCCCTTGCCTGGTAGATGGAAATGTAGTCCGTGCCTGTGATCTGCACCCCTGAAGGAGGGAGAGGGAGAAGAGACAGGAATCAGAGCTGGGGCGAGATATGGCTGCAAGGAAACTGCCCTGAATGATCAGATGCAGACCCAGCACCTGGACAGGACACCTACTCTTAGAACGTCATTCACTTGATGGTGAAGTGAGTCTCATGCTGGGACATCAGCGATTCCCATTCAATAGAACCAGCTCTCCCAGAGGCATCCCAAAGGCAGCCTGCACCCCTGCCGCTACCCCAGCCATATTCCAGTCTCCCTTCCCAGCAGCGTTACCTGTTCCAGCCTCTGTGAGAGTCGCCTCCACTTCAAGGTACCCAAACATCCTGGCGTGATAAAGCTTGAATGTTTTGGTGCTGATGACGTTAGTTATGCAGCCATCTGTCCCCAGCTGAAAAGTGAAGGGACAACCCAGTCAGCATGACGGGAAAGAGCCCAGGTCTCTGAATGGTCAGGCAGCTGCTCTTTGGCCTCCTCCGTGAGGCTCTGCAGACCTTAGCACTTCTGCTCTCGCTCCTCCACCTGCCTTAGTGCTTCCCTGTTGCTCCATAGCAAGCCAGCCCTTCAGCACCATCACTCCTGTGCCACTGCCTTCCGCCCGGAAACCCTCCTTCCCTCCCCCATTCCCTGAGCTCAGGTAAAGACACAATGTTAGTAGTTCTCTCTTCCTTGATGGAATCTTCAAGGGCAGAAAACCTGAATTTTTAAAGTTTAAAAAAAAGAGAAAGAAGATGCAGAATAAATGCTTTGGGGAAAAAGAACAAAAATCTCACTCTGTTGGCTGTCCTCACAAATATAACGTTCATAAGACAAAAAACAAAAAGGCCAATTTTTGTGGCCTTTTCTAGATGCCTTCCATACATAAACAAGAGCAACAAGGCTCTGTTGATCTAAGACAGGGGTGGCCAACCTGTAGCTCTTCTGAAGTTAATATGCAGCTCCTTGCTCAGGCACCAACTCCAGGGCTGCAGCTTCAGGTGCCAACTTTCCAGTGCTCAAATCCTGGCTCTGCCTCCTCCTCCAAGTGTATTGCACCCTCACTCCTTCCCGCCCCCGCAGAGCCTCCTGAGTGCCATGAAACAGCAGATTGCAGTGGTCAGGAGGTGCGAAGAAGGAAGAGGAGGCACTGATGGGTGGGGTTGCTGGTGGGCAATAGATGCTGGAGAATGGAGAGGAGGCACCTGATGGAAAGTACTGTAGCTCTTTGGCAATGTCCAAATGGTTGCTCCTTCAGGCTCAGGTTGGCCACACCTGATCCAAGAGAAGAGGTGACTGCTTTTGTCCTACCCTCTTCCCTGAAGTGGAATTATTTCTCTTTGAGTTAACAGGCTACAGTTTTGGTGTTAAATCTGATAAAACACAATTCAGCTGCTTGCACTCCCATTCCTAGGGTAGAGTGCTGTAAATTTATACTCTTTGCTAAAGAAAAACACATACTGTTCATCAAGAAAATATGCAGATGAGGCGAAGCATTGAATATCGCTGTGCCTCATTTGCATACTTAATGCCATTTTAGCTCAAGTGGCTTTTGTGCAAGAGCCATTCTGCTGATTTTTCCAGGAAGAATGGCTCTTGTATAGGAGTGGTTTTTTGCACAAAAAGGAACTGTGTAGATGACTCCTTTTTGCGCAAAAGCCCCTTGCACAAAATGGTGACTCAGTAATGAGGTGTAGTGATATTCACCACTTCACCTAATTTGCATATTTTCTTGCACAAAAGGGGGCAGTTTAGATGTAGCCATAGGGTATGTCTACCCTGCAGCCTTGGCTCAAAATAAGCTATGCAATTTCAGTTAATTTTGAAATAGCATCAAATTAGGAAATAAGCTGTATTCCCTGTATGGTGCTCATGGAATGAGGTTTACAGGGACGTCAGAATAGCGAGCTCATTATATTTCAGAATAACGGGCTTGCTTCAAAAATGCAGAATTGCTATTTCAGGATAGCAGAAGTATCTCAAAACAGTGCCGCAGTGTAGCTGTAGCCCAGGGTCTTGGTCCTCACTCAATAAAACAGCCTATAACATCTGAGGCTGCACATGAAAAACAGTCATTGGATTTGTCTGCACAGTCACTCCACTTGCAGTCTAGCCCACCTCTCTGTGGTTCCCATGTATAATGGGCCTGTCACGTTGCTGGATCTTGAGGGGATCAGCCAGATCACTGATGCACCCATAGGTGGGGGTGTTGGCCCCAAAAATGGTGTAGAAGGGGGCCATGTGAGGTATTGAATAGAAGCTTATTATCTGATAATCCTATGTACGCTGTTCATGTGTTTGTATAATGTCTGTGTGTGCAATTATTAGCATGTACTTGTATGGACACTGAAGATTTCC